GCTGCAGTGTCCTCAACACAGGATCCTCATTTGCAGTTTTCACAAGTGCTGACCCCAGGCCCTGCCTCTCTCCCCTTTCCAGCCCTCTTTCAATCCATGCTGTGAGACAGGGACCTCGGCAACGCCTTCCACGCCTTCACCTTTCACCGGAGAAAAGGAAATACTACCCATGTCAGTAATAGACGCTCAGAGCTCTACCTATTGCCAGGCCATAGAGACCCCAGGAGAAAGGATAAGATGAGGTGGCCATCATTTTGCATACAGACTTCATAATGCAGGGAAGATGAGGATGTGAGAGTAGTGGCCGGGAGACACGTGGTTTTCATTTGGAAGACTGTGCTTTCACAGTGTGTGGAACCTCGTGTCATAATGATGCGATCTGCATCATACAAGTTTTTTTCTTCTGAGCCTCTTGACAGGTGTGTAGCAGGAAAATCCATCTTCAATTTCTGCTGATAGGACACAGGTTAACATACATAACTAAGATGAGATAAGCACAGATGACAAGGGGGGGAGACAAATACTCTTGCCTGAACTCAGATCAACAAAGAGAGGTAGAAACTGGAGCCCATGGCTCCTTCACTGACAGAGACAATTTCATGCCTTGCCTTTGATATCAGCACTAGAACAGTTAAAGGAAGACTGACAGACGGAGCTCCCCTGTCTTCTGATTATCAGGCCTAAGGGAGGTGAAATTGTTGGTCTGAAAGTGCAGCCTCCTGCCTCAAGGGGGGGATTCTGTACACGCCATGACTGTGCTAAGTGCTTTCTGTTCGTGACACAGCATCCACCAGTCCTATAAGACAGGTAGTCCAAGAACTCTCTCATTCATGTGGAGCTAACGGCTCCTGGAGCCTGATAGCTCTGCAGGTCACTCAGCTGCGACCTCCTGAGTCTAGACTAGAACCTTGGTTAGAGTTCACGTTACCGTCACACTTTTCCACTCCTCCCAGCCTGGAGCAGATGTTGTGCTCCTTTTTTGTATTTCCTTTGATTTCTTAAAATGTAACACAGGTGTTAAAATTACTACTATACTTTGTATTTCCTGACATTATTACAATCACAACAGAGGCAATTAAAAAAACTCATGTGGATAAATTATTGAATTGAAAGGCACAGACAGAAAAGTAAGCTTGCTAAACTAACTTGATGTTTGACAAAGGAAATGGACATCATATTGATGCAAATAGGAGGATGTGCTTATGTGAAGCTACCTATGGAGAAAAGAATCAGTCTCAAAAAATCCTTAGGTCAACTCTCTTCCTTATGAAAACAAAAGTAAATACGGGAGGGCAGAAAGTGCATAGCCTCTACATGAAGCTGGGGGAAGTAAAAAGTTGTCAAAATTAAGTTTTCCTCGTACAGCCCACCTTGTACACATGGTCCCCTGCATTCTGCTATAGGTTCTCCCCCTCTTCCCTTAGCATCTGTCCCTGGGTCTTGAGGAGGAAAAGCCTTGGTATTGGTCTGGAATCTTCAGACAGGCTGGTGGTGGAGCTAAGACCCTG